TTAGCAAAAGACAGATGGGGGGGTGACAACATTGTCCACAAAAATGCTGTGTGTGGTCAGGAAGCAGGAGCTGTGTGCATTTGTGGCAGATTGACAGGTATCTTATAGTACTTGTAGGGTCTTTATAGGAAAAACAAAACGGGTTCATGTGCATGTATTGTAGGGATGCACTGCATGTGTGTTTTTTTTTTTTGTTTTTTTTATTTGACATGTGCTTTAAGGGCACATTTACACATACAGCCATGGCCAAAAATATTGGCACCCCTGCATTTCTGTCAGATAATGCACCACTTTGCGCAGAAAATTGTTGCAATTACAAATGTTTAGGCATTCTCATGTTTATTTATTTTTTTGTTCGTATTGGTATGACACAATAAAGTGGAGGAAAAAAAGCCAACTCTGACACATTCCACACAAAACTTCAAAAATGGACTGGATAGAATTATTGGCACCTTCTCCGAATTACAAGAAATAATTGCATTCCAAGTTTTTGTGGAAAAGCATTGACAATCTCAAGGTTACAAGTCAATCTCCGGAGATCTTAATGTTCCTGTGTCCACTGTTTATGGCCTACTGATGACACATTAAAACACATTGAAACATGCAAATAACGGGTATACAAAAACTACATTCCAAAACTCATGGAATGGTGGAATTTGGCGCTTTGGAATTATGTGTGCCCCATGTGGAACATTGCAGTAAATATTATATGTTTAAATGCTGAGAGATCAGTGTGAGTTACCTGTTATTACACAATAGTGGATGTCCTTCCAAACATGATTTAGTAACAAATGACAGCTCTAATATCTGTAGAAATTAATGATGAATTAGATCCAACACTGGTTAGCTTTTGGAGGTTGAGGGTTCCTTAAATACATTTACACATGGGCCAAGTAGCTGTAGAATAGAGAACATGACCTGTCTTTTCCTAACGTTTTGTGATAATATGCACTGCACTGTAACACATATGCAAAGACTCGGTAAAAATTACAGAGGGAGCTTCTACTTTTTAAGTCTAAATTGACAAAAATAAATCCTGATTGCAAGAACACTTATACACTGTTTGCTAACAGCAAATATTTACACTGTTAATTAAAAAACAGTTCTAAGCCGTTGATGCATTGTGATTGGATATCAAAAGGGCATCCAGAACACTAGACTGCACTGTAATTAATGAGTGCTATAGCTACAAGAATTCACAAAGCGGACCTAATATGCCCATAATTCAATAATTCCCATAAGATGGCATGCACTGAATCAAGCCAGTCCATTCCATGTGGTAATATACACTGCCTGGCCCAAAAAAAAAAAGTCACACACTAATATTTAGTTGGACCACCTTTAGCGTTGATTACGTCACACTTATGCATTGTCACAACATTTATTTCCATCTAGAGTTGCACTAATTTTTCACCAAGATCTTGTAGTGATGATGGGAGAGTCAGACCACTGCGAAAAGTCTTCTCTAGCACATCCCAAAGATTCTGAATGGGGTTAAGGTCTGGACTCATGCTCTCTGAACCACTCAGCATGGTTAAAATACCTGTTTGTTTATTTTTTTTTATTGCCATCTGTTTCCTGTTGGGGAGATTTTGCTCTATTTTCTGTCGTCCTAGGTACAACAGAAATCCTTAGAGCAGGCATCCCCATTAAAATATTTTCCTTTTTTCTGTTCTGGTGGAAACTCAAAAAAAAAGTTGATTTTCCCTTTCTTTCAGTGGCATTGACAATAGCTACCAAGACAAATAGAGAGGGTGACACAGCCAGCAATAAGGACCTGACAGTGGCTAAACTCCTCACCACTCTATATCCAAAACGAAAAAAAAAAATGTTTGGGCTTTATTTGCTAAAAAAAAAGACCAGATATACCATTTGTTGTATCTTACACTAATTACTGTAAATTCTTCTGATTGTGGTGGGTATTGAAGAAACAATTACCAGGTCTTGTTTTTTTTAAAATGTCATTGTATGTTCAAGTTATGCAAAAATGTTCATTCTTTCTTGCCACTGGTTACATGATTTAAATTGTAAGAAAACAAAAGGAAAAAATGTCTATAGATTTGTTTTCCATGTTTATTTCTATGTAGCCGATATATATATTTACTAGTTAGGTTTGGCTCTTCTGCAGCTGTTGTTTTATGGTGTGATACACTTGTCATTATAATTCCAGGAGCAGTAGGATCAGTTAGTGGAGCTTTGCAGATTTACATGTCTGTGTAGTCTACCATCCCCGCTCCTGGCCAGACTAAGTTGTCCTCTTCCTGTAAATATCTAATGCTTCATTTTTTAGTTTAGATTTTAGATAATAAAGCTGTTCTCTATTTACTCTTTGTGTTTTCAGTTTTTGCTTGAGTTTTTATCTAGTGGCATCCTCTATTTAAACCTACTTTTTTACTAGAATGCCAGAATATAATTAAAGTTGAGTTTTCCGGTTTTAAACCAAGTAAATAAACTTCCTACCTCTATTGTCAAAAAACATATTGGTAGTATTGGTAGTTTAATTGGCATCAGTACAGCAGCAAGGTGATTGCAACTGCATTAAGGTAGTCCATTCATTAATGTATTACCTGGCCATTGTGCTACCTATGCTTATCAAGTGGAAATGATTGTAAAACTCCCAATTTAAAAAAAAAAGAGTGATAAAAAAATACAAATTAAAAAAATATAAAAGTGATAAAAAGGTAAAATGTTTTTTTTAAATAAGTACAAATGAAAATAAAAAACAACTCCCCCCCCCCCCCCCCTTCTGCGTGCGAATACAGTTTTTTAAAATAAAGTTAAATAAAACTAAATTAAAAGTACTGAGAACAAATTAAAGTCCCCCACGAATGTGAAATGCCCCCCGCAAATAAAACCTGACTCCTAGCCTTTTCAGCTGGCTCAGGGATTCAAGGAACATTTGTCAAGCCCTGGTTTAACTGCATTTCCATTAAGTTTACCATATTAAAATGGATTTTTTTTTCCCTTGAGGGTCCGGTGGCTGAATTTTGTTTTTGTTTTTTGTAACATGTCGGGACAGTTAATGTACTGGGATTAAAACTCTTCCCAGATAACCAGACAGCATAGTGATAGCTTGGGTACATCTGTCTCTCTACAGTGACGCATGTAAGAGACTTTCCATCCTCTTGATGTTCTATGTGTTGTGGTTAGGAGAGTACATTTCTGCAGTACGTTTCCTTTCCTAACCCATCGCTGTTTCCCAATAATGGGATAGTATGTACACGAAAGCAGACCCAGCCACCTGGTACTAGCAGTCACACAAGATTAGGCACTTTAAATTTGGGATTCCTTGCATGTGACATGTTAGTGGTGTTTTGGATAATAACCAGACGCAGCTCTTCCAAGATAACCACATGTTATCTTCTGGACCTGTCCAGGGTTGGTTGTTTTTTTTTCTTCTTCATTATTGTTTTATTGAGCCATACATGACAATGAATTAAAATCTATATGTTAGGTTTGTTGACATTATCTTTTTTTTTGTTGGTATTTTTTAAAACTAAAAAAGTGTGAAGCAGTCAGGGAAACTAATTGAATAACTGAAAAGTCATCTAAATAAGCTGCAACCAACTACCTTCGGAAGTCACATAATAGTTAAATGGAATACACGTGTCCAATTAGTGTAACATGATCCTAAAATAAATACGTCCATTTTCTGGACCGCCCCAGTGTCTGTTAGTGACTTATTTAAATAGCATTCTGTAGACCAAGGAGCTGACAAAACAGGTGTACAATGAAAGGCATGTAATGTCTGTACAATCTCAAACATAGAGGAAAAAAATGAATTTTACGAGGCCTCTAAGTGTAAAAAAATTTGAAACAAAACCTATTCCTCAAGAGTGGACACGAGGGCTGCAGTGCCTAACGATTCCTATTGTGGCTTTTTTTAATGATTCCTACCATAACCTTTATCTCCTTAACTGACTGCAGGATAAATATGTCCACTGGTGTCTCTTTTTTTTTTTGCATCGGAGGGCCACACTTATGCAAATCCTGTGTACCTTTTGTTTAAAATGTATCAATTCCTCATTCTCTAATTGGTCCCTGCATTGCTCTCCCTCCGGCTCCCTGTGCGGGTGCCTTCAATCAGCTAGCCAGCTGCAGTGGAGGTACCTGTGCATACGCGTTTCCGTCAAGTAGCTGTGTGTGTCCATAGACGCATGCTGTGCTGTGCGTCCACACACAGCATGCGACCATGCCCCACCTCTCCTCCCAAAAGATTGACTGATGGTAAAAGGAGCCTATGGCTCCTCTGTCCTCAGTATCCCCTGCAAACAGGAAGTTCGGGGAATGTAGGATAGCTTCAGGGACCAGTAGCGGTGACAAGTCTTCACTGGGTAAGTAGTGGTGGCGGTGGTTGGCACAAAAAGGTACTGGGCATTTTTTACCTTAATGCAGAGAATGCAGTAAGGTAATAAACGCCCAGCCTTTAGTACTACTTTAAGAATGTAATAGCTCACATTGAATACTTTCTAGTAAACTGTTGCCTTGCATGATGACTTTACTTGCAAACCCCAGCTGCGAGGCACAAAGTACTAAGTAGAATGTAGTAGATTATTAGTAGAGTGGATCAGTGAAAGATGAGTTATATTTGGTTGCTATGGGTTTCTGCAATGTAGACATTGTCATTGCCCTCTACAATGCCATAATGAAGAACATTGGTCATACATGGGAAAATCTGTTAGACAAGTTATGACAAGACCCTTGTTAGAGCCTAATTTTCCCCAATATCCACATATATCAGGATCTCCCCAGCACTGCCTATGAAAGATGCTGCCCTGGGCTATCTCTCTTTCTTGCCAATAGATAAATGGAGGAAGTTTAACTGGTCAAATAATTCATTAACGATACAGTCCAAAAAATATTTTGTAATGATTTTCATACCATGCATTTCATATTGTACATTGTTCTTGCAATGTCTGTTGTCTGTATGCCAAATCTGTTTTTAAAATCTTTGGTTTTAATAATAATTCGGTCTTCCTTTATTTATTTTTTTGTTTCAGATCTGAAATGTTTATAGAGGATAAAGCTCTAACAACTTTAGCACATCTCTGTGATGGTGATGCCAGAACTGGTCTGAATGGGCTGCAGCTTTCAGTTCAAGCTAGACTTGCAGCAGGAGACGATCCACAGAAGCAAAGAATGATTATAAAGGAGGAGCACATTAAGGAGGGCTTACAACGCTCCCATATTCTCTATGACCGAGCTGGTAAGTAAAAACATTGTTTCTTAATAAGGCTGTGTTAAGGATTAAGCATATTCCTAAACTAACGTCAGCAATTTGGAAATTACATCCAGCTTAGCAAGTAAGAAGAGCTGCACATGCCCATATCTAGTTTACAAATAGCCACATCTGTGTTACAGCTTCTGCATGATAGAGATTGCTTTTTCAGTTATTACGTTATTGCTTTAATAATTTTTTTCCACCATGTCATTCAGTTACAATGTTCAGTGCTATTAAAAGGCTCAGTAATGCTGTGTACCTGTGGAACTGCGCATTGTATATGTTTAGAACTGATGTCAACCCTAAACAGGTTTTTGGTGTTAGCAGTTGTTTCTCTTTAGGAAGTGATATCCCCTTGTCCCTAGAAAGATGCATGGACTGTGCGTACCTTACTGGCTTTTTCTTGTCCTCAACCACATGGACTCGTACACATGCATACATCAGCTCATAAATGCATACACACAATAGGTTGGACTAGGTTGGACTTGATGGACTTGTGTCTTTATTCAACCTCAAATACTATGTAACTATGTAACCAGTACCTACAACATACAGCGAGTAGATGACCATTTTCATATATCAGACTGTCCCATATAGTACAGTATAAAAATAAGTTTAGCAATAACATCTCTCTAGAGGTTTTACTTGCAGTTTTCATTGTTTGATGCATTAATCATTGAACATTCTGACTGACTCACCTCTTGAAAAAAAGGTTCTTTTGAAGATGGAGTAAAAAGAGTTTCCTATGTGCCTATGTTTGCACCCACACAAATATTTTTTTGTTCTGGGCAGCACAAGGTGCTTAAAATGTTTTCTGAAACTTGGACACCTTCCAGTATTTCAAAACCATTTCCAGGGACACTTTACTGATAAGTGGAATTATCAAATTGCAAAGCGTGTAGCTCTGCCTGGACAGACTTTAGCTTTGAATACTTTATATCAGGATCTGTGTATTGAGCTTTGTGAATATATATATATATATATATATGTTTCCTCAAATATTTCCCAAAGCCTGTACAATAAATACAACAAGTCAGGAATGAATTTAGGTGCAAGGGAGGGGAATCGACTTGCAGTGCAGAAAGATTTTTTTTTTACCATATAAGATAAATGAACAGCCACATCCTATCAGAGTACCCTAGACATTTAGGGGGGGGTTGTATTATCGGGAAGAATACAAACAAATAATTTGCTTCACTGTTACCATTTTAAAGCGTGTATATTAGGTGACAAGACTTTCTGACCTCTATTTAGTTTTTTCCCAAAAGTAAGCTGTGTTTATAACTGTGTCATATAGATGCCCATAAGTTTAGGTATAGTTTAAAGGAGAACTATGAGGTGAGTGCTTTTCACTCACCTCATAGTTCTAGCCGACCTGTGACAATGAGACTGTCGCAGGTCGGCTCAGTAGATCGGGAGGTGAGCGAACACATAGCAGCGTTCGCTCGCCTCTCGATCCTGTCACGGCTCTCTGCCGTGACAGGGGAGGGGCTGGATTCCCCCCTCCCAGCTCCAATCCGCCAGCGCTGACTGGCGGAACGGACGGGGCAGGGGGCGGGTACAGCTGGCTCTGCCTCTAGATAGGCAGAGCCAGCTGTCAGTCACGCAGCTGGGCGGATCCCGGCACAATTGTCGGGATCTGCTTCAGCTGCGGCGTCCCAGTATACTGCAAGCAGCAGCTCACGGTATACTGCGGCGTCTCAGTATACCGCGAGCTACAGCTCGCGGTATACTGAGCCTAGGGTGACGGGAGGACGCTAGTTTGTGTCCTCCCGTTACCCTGAGAAGAACTATGGGGAAAAGCCTTAACCCCATAGTTCTCCTTTAATGTTACTTCACAAAATAGAGATGCTGACATTCTGTATACATTTGTAAACCGTTTTTAAAATGTGTTTGCAAACAACACATTGGGCTAGTGTTTTTCAAACTTTGGTCAGTTGTGTACTACCATACCTGGTGTATTATCAGAACAGCAAATTAATCAAATATATCGTATACATATGAAACTTTTAGACTGAGTTCAGATGGGCTATAGCAGGGTTGCCCACAATTTTTGTGTTAAGATCTACTTTTCAAATGACAAGCTACATGAGATCTACAAACGAGAGAAAAAAAAAACTCCCTCGCTCTCTCTTTCCTGGCTGTCTCTCCTTGTTCATCCACCTGGCTGTCTCTCCTCTCTGTCCTGGCTGTCATTCCTCGTTCTTTCTCCTGACTGTCTCTCTTTGCTGTCTCTCTTTGGTGGCTGTCTCTCCTTGCTCTCTCTCCCCTGGCTGTCTTTCCTCTCTCTCTCCTATCTGTCTCTCCCTGCTCTCTCTCCTGGCTCACCTTGCTGTATTTTGCAACAGGCTGTGTAAACTAATATTCTTTGATGTAATACATAGCACTTCAACCACCAGTATCCAACGAAGGTGTCAGGGAGCTTGGCTCAGCAGACTCAGACTAATAGGTGTGTGCACAGCTAAATAAATATACCAAAATGGAATAAAGGGGCCGCCATTCACACCCTTCGTGATCTACCAGCATTACCTTTTGAGAGCTACTGGTAGATCACAATCTACCTAATGGGCACCCCTGGGCTATAGTCTCTACCTCCCTCTGAAAAGTGATCCACAGTAGATTGCTTTTGTAGAGGGTGGTGGAGCAGCAGCTGCCCTGCATTCAGGTGGCAATACTGTCACCCCCAGAATGCAGGGTTTTTATTTTTGTTTTTCTTAAATCCCAATAGGATTGTCTATTGATGTACTGCGCCACAACCGTGTACCCACATGTCAAGTGCGACATGCTGTTGATGTTGCCACGCAGTGACGCAAAGCATCATGGCCGCAGCACTGTATATAGCACTCTGCGGCCGCACATCAACCATGCGATTTTACTGCCCCCTTGCCACCCATGTGAACAAGGCCTTAGGGCCATTGTAGCTGCTGGAGGAATATCACACATTGTATTAACACTTCAATCAAAGTATTTAGGTATCAGTCAGGTTCTTAAAGAACTCCAGGCACAGAAACCTAACCTTTGCAGTGGGTATACCGCCTCACTGCACCCTGCGACCCTAGATGAAAACAGTACAACAGCAAAAAGTTTCCCAGCACACTCACCAGCCAGCATGCAAAAAAACTTGTCTCACCATTAAGGTTAATGGTGAGGTTTAGATACACGTCTTCTGCAGAAAATTTGAAAGCCGCCTCGCCAAGGCATCTCTATATAGTGTGGTCCTAACTCTAAACTATGAGAGTTTCCATCTTGGATCACATGTAGCAAAATATAAAATTGGGTGCAGGTTTGTCAGGAGGAATCCCAACCTCCTTAAAGGCACAGGGACGCACAAGGGACCCCGCACACCACAACGGCAGCTGTGCGTCCCTGTGCCTTTAAGGAGGTTGGGCTTCCTCCTGACAAACCTGCACCCAATTTTATATTTTGCTACATGTGATCCATGGACACCTTGCTTAGAGCTGGTAACAAATTGATGAGTGCGTTTGCCATTTGTTTACCTAGATGAAAACAAGCACTTAACCCTGGCAGTGCGGAGGTAGCTCCACTGCAAGGGTTAAGTACACTTTTGCCTGGCGTTTGTCTTTAATGTGTTGATACAATGTATGAAAATCTTTTAGGAGTAGCAGTGCCACTAAAAGTTACATAGGTTTCTTTAAATTAATGTAAGTGATCGTCTTGGTGTTGCACACTGAAATATTCACTTTCTTTATTTTCTTTGACCTCTATTTTAAGAAGCATTTGACCCACATGGCATTCAAGGGACAGTAGCAATGCTACTGGTGGCAAAAGTACTCTTCTTCCCCAGTGAAAGAAGCCTAAGTAACAGACTGCCAGCTCCCTCTCTGTCTGTAAAAAAGGGACCCTTTTGTTTCTCCAGTCCCTTGACTTCAGCATTGAGGCCCCACAAGTTTGGATGCTTGTCCATCTGCAAAGTCTGGCATTCCAAATCTGCCAAATCTTCAGACAAGTTTTCCTCCGAGTAAAGGTGTGCCCCCACTTTCGCTTGGACAGCTTGGGTTCCAGACTCCTACGTGAAAAAGTTTGTGCCCTAGAGCTACACACTTGAGAGTTTTGTTCCCTTCCCCTCCTTGTTTTCTGCATCTCCACACATTCTAGAAGATCACCATCGTTCTCTCTCGGCTCTCCTGAATCAGAGTGTCATTGCCTCAGTTCTTGCGGGAGAACAGTTTCAAGGGTTTTACTCCAATCTATTCACTATTTCAAAAACCAAAGGAAGTTTTGCCCCATCTTGGACCTCGAGGCACTAAATGTTTACATTAAGATCCAAACATTCCGAATGGAATTTATCAGATCTGTCAGTGCCTCCCTTCATCAGGGAGATTTGCTAACTTCTGTGGACATTAAAGTTGCTCACTTATATGTGCCTATCTTTTCCAGTGCAACAACATTTTCTGACACTTGTGGTAGCACCACTACACTATCAGTTCATGGCCCTACCATTTTACCTATTTTTTGCACCTCCAGTGTTCACCAAGGTGCTGGCCCCTAGTGTTGCGCTCCCATCGCATCTCCATTTCTGGGGATTACCTGCTGTTGAGGCAACAGTTGGTTCTGTTGGTCAAGGTTTCTCTGACAGTGTACACATTACGGAGCTTTAAATGGATGCTGAAGTCGGCACTGTAACTGGCTAACTGCTTGGAATATCTGGTCATGTCTCAGGCCATGTTTGGAGAAGATTTAGACCCTATTCTCAGGTTTGAACTTGCCAGTCCAGAAGCTGCCTGTGCTTCGGTGTGAGAGTTTTGGAGCTAATCGTAACCTCCTTTGAGGTGGTTACCTTTTGCCCAGTTTCACTCCAGGCCTGAAATCGCATTTTTGGACAGACCAGTTTGTTTGACACCAAGGAAGAGGCTATCCCTGGCTTGGTGGTTCAGAAATCTGGCTCTTGAATCGGGAAAGTCCTTTATTCCCATATTTTGAAAAATTCTCGTGATGGAGCCAGCCTGTAGAGCTGGTTGTGGGGG